TAGGACACTAAAAGCATTGGAAGCAAGAACAAAAATAGGTAAGTTGGACAACATCAAAATTAAAAACTTTTGCATATAAAAGGACATTCAACAGAGTCAAAAGGCCACTACCAGAATGGGAGAAAATATTTGCAAATCATGTTTCCAATAAGTGATTTACATAAAGCACATGTAAGAACTCCTACAACACAACAACAATAAACAGCCTAATTATTAAGTGGTCAAAGGACCTGAATAGACAATTCTCCAAAGAAGATGTACAAATGAACGATAAACACATGAAAAGATGCTCAGCCTCAGTAATCATTAGGGAAATCCAAGTCAAAACCACAATGAGATGCCACTTCACATGCAATAGAATGGCTATCCTATATAATAAAAGGCTAATATGAAAATTGACCAAACAGCAGAACAACCAGTCACTGTGACGCACACTGACCACCAGGGGGCAGGTGCTCAACACAGGAGCTGCCCCCTGGTGGTCAGTGCACTCCCACCTCCACGGCAGCCCTAAGGATGTCCAACTGCCAGCTTAGGCCTGCTCCCCACAGAGAGCGGGCCTAAGCTGTCAGTCGGACATACCCCGAGGGCTCCTGGACTGCGAGAGGGCGCAGACAGGACTGAGGGACCCCCCTCCCCCGCCCCTCTGAGTGCACAAATCTCATGCACTGGGCCTCTAGTTATATATATAATAATATCAACAGAAAAGATATCTCAGAAAGGATGTAGAAAAATTGGAACCCTTGTGCATTGCTATGGTAGGAATGTCAAATGGTATAACTGCTGTGAAAAACACTATGGCAAGTCCTTTACAAATGAAACATAGAATTGCTATGTGATCCAGTATATTCTGAGCACATATCCAAAAGAAGTTGAGGCAGGCACTTGGATAGATGTTTGTACACCAATGTTTACAGCATCATTTTTTATAATAACCAAAATGTGGGAACAACCCAAGTATCCACTGATGGATGAATAAGCAAAAATGTGGTATTCAGACACAAAAGAATGTTGTTCAGTCTTCAACAAAAGGGATTTTTCTTTTCTTTATTGATTAAGATATTACATATGTGTCCTTATCCCCCCACAGCCCCCCCCACGCCCACACTCATGCCCTCACCCCCCTGTTGTCTTTGTCCATTGGTTAGGCTTATATGCACGCATACAAGTCCTTTGGTTGATCTCTCCCCCTTACCTCCGCCCTCCCATACCCTGTCTCTGAGGTTTGACAGTCTGATCGATGTTTCTCTGTCTCTGGATCTGTTTTTGTTCATCAGTTTATGTTGTTCATTATATTCCACAATTGAGTGAGATTATGTGATATTTATCTTTTTCTGACTGGCTTATTTCGCTTACATAATGCTCTCCAGTTCCATCCATGCTATTGCAAATGGTAAGAATTCCTTCTTTTTTTTTTTTACCACAGCATAGTATTCCATTGTGTAGATGTACCACAGTTTTTTAATCCACTCATCTGCTGATGGGCACTTAGGCTGTGTCCAAATCTTAGCTATGGTAAATTGTGCTATGAACATAGGGGTGCAATATCCTTTCTGATTGGTGTTTCTAGTTTCTTGGGATATATTCCTAGAAGTAGGTCAAATGGGAGTTCCATTTTTAGTTTTTTAAGGAAACTCCATACTGTTCTCCACCAGTCTGCATTCCCACCAGCAGTCCACATTCTCGCCAGCACTTGACATTCGTTGATGATAGGCATTCTGACAGGTGTGAGATGGTACCTCATTGTCATTTTGATTTGCATCTCTCAGATGATTAGTGACTTTGAGCATGTTTTCATATGTCTCTTGTCCTTCCTTATGTCCTCTGAAAGGGACTTCTGACTATAACATAGATGAGTCTTGAAGGCATTATACTAAGTGAAGTAGACAGTCACAAAAGGATATAGGTTGTATGATTCCACTTATATGAGGTACTTAGAATAGTCAAATTCATAGAAACAGAAAATGAAAGATAGTTGCCAGGGGCTTGGGAGAAGGGGTTGGGGAGCTAGTGTTAAATGGGTTTGGAGTTTCTGTTGGAAGATGAAAATGTTCTGGAACAGATGGTGATGGGAATGGTTGCACAACGATATGATTGAACTTAATGCCGTAGAACTCGTACACTTAAAAATGCTAAAAATGATAAATTTCCTTTTATCTATATTTTTATCACATTAAGTATTAAATTAAAAAGTAAATAATATCAAACTGATCTGTTCCAACTGTCTAAATCTCCTTTCAGAATGGCATTTAATATCCCTAACAGCTTGAGGACTTACAGATGTTCACTCCTGTTTTACAGATAAGAAAACTGAGGCATGGATTAAGTAAATTATTCAATATCAGAGTGTCAAAAAGTGACTGAGTTATGATTCGAATTCAAGTGGTATGGACGTCAGAATCCATACTTTTCAGAAGATAGTTATTTTTAATTATTATTTTTGGGAGCGATCTGAGAGGTTTACTGGGGCTGAGGCTGTACTATCTGTTGCAACTACCTACTGGTGAAAGGAATCTGTCTTTTCAGTCAACAGAGAACAGAGACATCTCTCACAAGGGGCTGGGGCCACATTTTCAAGTGGCTATAGAATATTCTGCAGAAGCTGGTTAGAAGTAATTATAGTCTTTAAAGGAATTCCGGAAAAGCTAACATTCTGGGTAAAAGCTGTTAGGGCAGGAAACTGTTAAGATGTCACACGGAGCCCCCAGGACATCTCGCCAACCTCCTGTTAGTACCAAGGAGCCAAGGACAGAGATGGAGAGGTGGAATGTACACAGTGCGTATCGACCTTGGGGATTTTGTCAATAGCAAGATTATTTGCTGAGCAGGAGCCGTGCTGTGCCGTATGTCACTTCCAGGCTGCACCTCTCCAAAGGAATTACCTGTCCATCTTGCTTGTGTGCTCACGTGCAACGAGGTACAGAGGAGCAGCCGCACCCTATCTGGGCTGGAAATTGCTAGGCCTACAAGCTACGTGTGTATTGGGGACGGGGGCAAGGAAGCACCTATGAAAGAAGAAAAGGTCTGATCTCTGTTTGCTACACTGCCCGCCAGGGAGCAGGGCCCAGAGAATCCAACAACCATCAGTCCTCAATTCTCAGGTGAAAACCTTGTTTTGGAGGCTGGGTGATGCTCTCTAGGAGCTTGGGTCAAAATACGAGGAGCTATGCCTTCTCCGCTTGCTGCTGGGACAACATTTCAACAGGTTTTGTAGGACCCCAACAGGAGCTATAGGTCCCCAACAGGTGCTATAGGACTCCAACAGGAGCTACAGGACTCCAAACCATGCTTTTCAACATTTGTAGTGAAATGACGAGCTGCTGCTTTGCATGACACTGTAGGGCTCAGTTTTGTCCGCGGCCCAGAGGGTGGAGTGAAATCCACACTGTCCAGGACGAGGTTTTCCAAACCTTCTCGTTTACAGATGAACTACAAAGTTCTAACATATCTCAGACAGAGCCAGGTCAAATATAGGTATACTGCACATATTTTCAAAAATAAGTATATTCCCCCAAGCTGAGATGCGATCTGTCCCCTTCCCCACCATTATGCATTTTTTCCCCATCATACATAATAGAATCAGGAAATTAAGAAAATAAAGGCCGTTATGAAAGACATTAGCTAATTCATTCATTTACTAAATACTTATTGAGCACCTACTATGGCCTGACACCAGGAATCTTGCCGAGGTCTCTGCATGTTGGATGAAGCTGAGAGGAGAAAGGAAAGCCTAGAAGGCAGACTGTGAAGTCCAGTGCAGCTCACGAGGGGAGTGGGATAAGCAGCCTCAGAATGCACAATGACTTTAAGAAAATGAGCTGGTATTATGAGCAGGGTACAACCATCGATGTGCGCAATAATTGCTGTGAGCTATTTAGAAAATTCTAAATTAAATTACAGTGGGCACAATCTGCTTAAGAGGCAAGAAAACTTACAACATGTTAGAGGAAAAATTCTTCCCCAAAGCTCACTAATGTAAGGGGAAGAAGTTTCATTAATAAAACAATTCTGTGCCCCCCGCCCCCCGCCCTTCTTTCTCATTCAAACCCAGCCCATGGCTGGTGGGAAGGGCCTAGGAGTGAATTTGTCCAAGAGCCACACTTCAGTTTTCATGAGAGGATATCAATGTGAACCTCTCTGTGGCTGTCAAGACAAATTTGTAACACAGAACATTTGCTTTGGCTAATTCCCCTAAACATTTAGTTATGAGCAATGATATTAAAGGGTTAGTGTCTAAGGGACAAGCAGTTTCCATGGTCCTTTATAGAGCGAACGTTTATGTATGGATCAAGTTTTGTCCTTGGGCTGTGTTTTTGGACATTTGTGGAATTTTTTAAAACTGCAAATGCTTTCTATGGCATATGTGGAGGGAGGTTATAAGAATGTCAGCAGGGAATTCTTCAGCACATGCATGATAGCAGGTCACGGGAATTTGGCCTCTTGGAAGCAACTTCTTTCCAGTCTTGCTATGAGGATTGACAGAATTTCCCTGAAGCAGATGATGTGTGTTGATCTCATGAATGTTGTGCATATTGTTCCTTCTCTGTTTCCCTTTTTGCTTTGGTTTCTAGGAAGCTCAAGTATTTTTGTTGGTCTTAAATAATGGAACAGGACTTTACATACAAGAGTTTATGTTTTCCTCTCTACAATTTCCTTTACCCTTATTGTCTAACTAGAGGCCTGGTGCGTGCACTGGTAGGGTCTCTTGGCCTGGCCTGCGAGGAGCAGGCTGAAACCAGCAGTCCAACATCCCCCAAGGGGTCCTGGAGTGCAAGAGGGCACTCTGCAAAGTTGCTGTCGCTCTGTGTGCTGTGTGTTGAGAGTCTGCCCCCTGGTGGTCAGTGCTCATCATAGCTACCAGCCAGTCAGCCGGTCGCCTGGTCGCTTAGGCTTTTATATAGAGAGATATAGATTATAATTTCTAGTTTTAAAAAAAATTGTCACAAGCTTTCACAAATTATGGGGGACATATAAGAAAAGGGAAGGAAAAAAAGGGATGAGTTAATAAATGAGGCTCTTTTGCTTTATGATGCCAGGTAACCAAGATAATCATTAAATGATCTAGCCAGTTGAATTCTTGGGCCACTCTAGGCAACCCCAAACTTGCTGGTTTGGATGTACAAGTTTCATTTAGAATTGAACCAAGACATTGGCTTTTAAGAAAGGGCCCGGGCACCTTTAACGTGCTCAGTTACACTTGGAGGCTTTGCAGCTGGGAGGGCTCCCCCGTCACAGAGGACCGAGTGGGAGGGCTCTGTCTGACAGGTATCCGGTGACATTTCTTCCCTATGTCTGATGCTACTAATGAGTGTTCTAAACCCCTTCATTCAGACTTTTAAGAAAACGGAAAACGCAACCTTTTATGAGAGGGAGGTAAGCCAATGCTTTTGATTACAGTGTGGCTGCCCGTTTATTTTCTGCCTCATACGCTCATAGCAAAGTGCAGACCCCATTCCCGTTTGAAAGGCAGTCTCATCATGCTTGCATCTGCAGGGCCCTCCATTACGCTGCCACTCGGATTCAGATTTCCTTTCCAGATGAGTTATTTCATAGGGTTTGAAATTAGGCCGCTATAACACAAGAAACAACTCTGGAGCTAATCTGGCCTGGCAGAAGCCGTACACAGGATGAGCCACCTGCCAGAGCTTAGCTTTGGGGGAAGAGGACGCTGGAGGGAAGGGAGGTGCCACTCTTCTAAGCATCTCACTAGAGTCCCTGGGTATCAGCTTGATGGGCACAGAATGAAGGTTACAGTGACTTGGCTCCAAAGGTGCCAAGGTTTTAGTACCATCCACTAAAGAACGTGCTGCACTCATAGAAAATAATGACACAGAGCCATAAAGGTAAAGCACTGCTGTTGCTTTGAGGGGCTTTTCATGTTGTCCAAAGCATTTTAGTTGTGCAGTTTATGTCTGGTTGTCTCTTTAGAACAAAGGGTCTTCGGGCAGGAAATGTGTGCAGTGACTCCCCTACTGATGGCCTTCGCTAATGCCAAGCAATAACAGCAACCATCGAGGACAGCAGGGAATTATGGCTTACGGTCATGCCTGGGCTGATTGTGTTGGAAGGGGTTTTATTTCACCTGAGAAAGAGATGGAGACCAAACTGATACCAGGGCTTCAGAACACAAGGTCCCTGCCAAGGGACTAACTTAAACAACTCTGTGTAATTAACCAGCTAAACGGAGCACAGCCAATCACATGGTTGCTCTGTTGGTGCTATGACACCCTCAGAACAATCGGTTCCTTTCACATCCAATTCAATTCTGAACGCCCAGGCCCAGCTCTGCACTTTGCATTGTCTGTGTCAAACTCTATTTTCAATCCTTTATGTCAAATTTAAATTCATGGCAACTGCATTCAGATCTTGATAGAATCCTCAATTTGCCCTGGACCCTAAAGCCATTCCGTAAGACACACACATGCACTTGCATGCGCCCACACACACGCACACATGTGAGCACTCACATATTTGAACTTGATTTGCACTCACTTTGGTTAAGCCAGAGTTCTCAGATAAGTATCCACTGCAAACAAGGGTATTGCACAATTGGGTCTTTATCCCTTATGTGAAGAAATCATATCAGCTCAGCTCTTGTTTGGGGTTAAAATGGACCCTCAAGTTTTCTGTGGTATTTTGCCCTGTTACGGAAGCTTAAATCGCTATCAATCTTAAGTGAGCTGGACAAATTGGAGCAAGGGATGAAAAATGGATGATATGTTTGACTCTGAACACATAGATCCATTGTGTCCACCCAAATGAGGTTTCGATTAGGCATAAAGCCAACAAGAATACCCTATCCACAACTTACATTCTGATACAATGTCCCAAAGAAAAGTCACTCATGGCCTCATCACTAAGAAAACACACTAGATGGCTCTGAGATTGAACTGACCTCTCATGGAAATCATCTTTGCTTGTGTACCTATAAATGCATGAAAGAATATAGTTTTTAAAAGCTCATCTTCTCCCTAATAATTGTCTGTTTTTAAAAAGCTATCAGCAGGTGCACCTCATTTCGAAAGCCTCTTGTCCTTCTGAATACAACATTCATCATGATTGCATCATATGAAACAAAAAGCAGCAAAACGTAAGTGAGAATCGTTCAATTAAATGCAACATAATCTCAGCAGCAACAACAAAAAAAGGGTTCTGTAGCTAAAACCAGGTTCTGATAAAAGAAGAAAAGGGAATATATTTCTGCATATTTTTAATTACATAGAATTTCCTCAAACATGATTTTTTATAATATATTCCATTAAGTTAACATCATATTTGAAGAAAGAGCATTTTCCGATTTCATTTGAAGCCTGATTTTGAGCAATTACAGTGTCATTGTTCTGCAGTAGAAAGGTTGAATTCATTTACTGCATGGTTATGCTAGTTATGATTGATGTCTCTTCTCCAAATGATAAACCAATCACCCCAATGATGTAATGTCATTTTAAGAGTGCCATAATCACATTTCTCTCAAACTAGAAGCTCTGATAAGTTCTAATAAAGATTTATGATAGATTAAAGGCCTTCATAATATCAACAATGGATTGCCCGTTTGATGAGAGATTTGATTAGGTAATTTTTGGGGGGAAAGAACAATATGAGTTTACTAAATATATCAGGCCTGGCTTTGAAGAAGGGCACGGGCCATCATAAGTAGCAGTCCATCATTCCATCTCCAGAATGAATCATCGTAAATGTAGTCATGAGGTCCTATCTAATTGTAGAGGCTGAGGCCAGTGGTGGCGTACAATCGTGGATGGAGCCCAAACACAATCTCATCCAGGAACATTCTTGGCATGGAAGCTCGGTCCTGCCTTGGACAGGATATGTTAATGGACACCATGAGTGGCCAGTTCAGAAGATTACTCCAAAGCCTTTGAGTCAGGAGCAATTAATTTCTACAGCTGTCTTGCCTTAGGCCATGGGGACTTAAACCTAGACACTGTCCGCTCTTAAGTTCATATATTTTGTGAACACATCACCAACAGGAGAAATCAAAATAAGGCATAATTACTGCTGGGCCCGGAGCAATTGCACCTAAGATTTAGAGGTTGGAGCTGAGGCAGTAGCCACAAAATCATCAAAAGTGAGGCAGAACCCTGGGACCTGTGAATGTGAAAACCACAGTAAGAACTAAGAGTAAGAGGCAGTGTTTATCCATCAGAAACAAGAGATCAGACATGCACACATTGGGCACGTGAGGGTGTCCAGGGTGCTTGGCTCTGACCAGAATCACAGTAAAACAAAATTCAACATTCCACTGTCTCTCTGACTATTCCCTTTGAGACCTGCATGCTTCTAGCTGCAGCAGCGGGCAAATTCCTTTCACCGAAGGACACCCCAACCCTGTTGAGACCAGCAAAGCCTTATTTGTGACCTTCGACGAATGTATCCTGGAACCATAATGTCACGACAAATGTATTTCCCCCCGGATGCGCCCCACACCACCTTCTCCCCAGCCCTTGTTTCCAAGTTGCCATTTTGCTGGAGATGCAACGCGACCACGCACACAACAGCGCACATTCAGACCACAGTTTCCTTACCACTGCTGGAGGCTTGCTGGGGCCCTGAGCATGCTCTGAGCAGGTATGAATTGGGGGAGAATTCCTCATCGGGGTTGGTGTCCATGATTTGATGGGAGGTGTTGCTGTCTAGCAATGGCATCTGGCAGCTAACGGGTGGAGGATTATGGGAGCTAGGCAGCTGAGCAGATGGGAGGAGGCTAGACGAAGATGTAGGTGGAATGGGACGACCTGGGAAAGAGGACAGAGGGGTCAAAGGTCAGCAATGAGTGTCATGAGAGCATCCAGAGAAAGTTACATTGAAACCACCTTACAATAAAAATATCTAAAAGAAAGGAAGGAAGACAATGCTCCAGATGTATTATTTCAAGTGGTTAGATGTTTCTCCACAGGTCTAAATTCATACTACACGTAGTTGCATGTTTCAGAAAGCCAGTGTGAGCAGAAATATCCACCTACATGGCTGATGTGGAATCCATCTGGAAAACGTCCAGTTCTTTCCATCTCCCCTGCTGCCGTCCTAATGTTGACAGCATCATCCCTACCCAACAGTCTCCTTGCTGGTCTACCTGCTTCCCCTCTGTCCCCATCCCTTCTCCACAGCAGCAGAACATGGTAAAAATAGAAATCAGGTCATATCGCTCGCCTGCTGAGCGCTCCCCCATTGCATGCAGAGAGAAGTCCAGATCCTGGATGATCATCTCCATGTCTTGCCTACTCTGGCACCAGCTGCCTCTAACTCCCCTCTGATGGTGGCCTTACCACTCCCCACGTGGCCCCCTGTTTGCTAGCCACAGCACTGTCTCTCGCTGCTTGAACATGCCACATCATCCCACCTTCGCAGGCAGCCTTTACCCCTCCTGTGCCCTCGACATGGAACATTCTCCCCGACTCGCCACCTCATATTCACAATCCTGCTTCTTCTCTTCGTTCAAGCCTTCCCTGTTTGTCTTCTTGAAAACGGCCCATCTGTCTGCTCGATCCTATTAGCCTGTTTAAATATGTTCATAGCCCTTACCACTATCTGAAGGTGGACCTCTGTGTATTTTATTTGCTCCTGTGTCTGCAGTGCCTTCCTAGCGTATTGCACCTCTTGAATGGATGAACAAATAAATAAGGAAGACTAAAACCAAGTCCATGAGATTGGGTTAGACATGGGAGAGAGGTGGGAAGGGGAACACATTTGCATCCCGAAGAACTGGCCAAGGACCCACTCTCTGCACCACGAGGGTTGTTTTGACACCACAGGGAATTCCTACAAAGAGAAGCACGGCCACTCCAGGCCACGGAGAGGAGCAGCGAGCCTCGTAGGAGGTGGGCAATGACGTGGAGCTTCTCTGGAATCAAGAAGTTCTCCCACTCGGAAGGCTGCAGCAACCTCTCAGCACAGGGCAGGGAGCTCCCGGCGGCCAGGTGCCCAGTGAGGATAAGTGCCATGTGCACTCTCACCCGAGTCACCCTCACATCTTGGGGTCCCTGTCAGTGCTCGCCTGCTGGCTTGTTCATTTGGGAAAAGCTCAGAAAAATGAGCCCGGAGCAGCAGCCCTAAAGCCAGGGGTGGGGAGAGAAGGGTAAGGTGTTGAGAAAGCAAACTCCTCAAGATGCAGGTCTCAGTTTCAGCTCGGGTAATAAGTGCAGAAGAAATGTTTTCCTGCTTTTTAGATGTACTATGTATGTGGGGACATTTTCAGGCACCTCAAATGGATGTTAATGTCAGTGTCTTTACAATTCCATTTCCTGTTCAATTCCTGATGGCATTAAGTGTTACTCATAGACCAGTATGTTTCAATGAAATGTAGGAGTGCCCCTTGCCCTCTGAGATACTGAGGACACAAGAATAAGCAAGGCATCCGCCCTGCCCCGAGAGAGCTCCCAGTCTAGTGGGGAAGGCGACAGGTGACTATTCCACTTCAGGACGTGATAAAGAGCAGGACCTAAGGACATTGTGCTGTAGGGGCGGAGATAGGGACAGTGGGTCCAGCCTGGCCAGGTAGAGGTAGGTGTGAGAGCCCTGCAAAGACTCCTGGAAAAGGTGGGGCCCAAGCGAACTTTGTAAGAGGAGGAAAGGGACTTCCGGTGAGAGGAAACCAGTGAACACCAGCAGAGGCATCAAACCACTGGCCTATCACCCTTTTGAGGTGGGAGGAGTGGAAGAAAGAGACAGGAGATGGGAATACTCCTAAAGCTTAAACGTTACGGGTTCCTGCCCAACAACACGACTGAAGAAGAATCACCCGTGAAATGCATCCATAGGTAAATGGAGTTTCATTTGAAAAACTCAGTTCATTCATAACTGCTTGGGAGCCATGTGAGGCATGCTACTCATGCCTGATGATCTGGCAAAGGTGGACTGAACACATCCAAGTTTCATCAGAATCGGTGCTCACATTTAATCCATACCTTCTCCCTTAGATTTCCCTGGAATTACCATCATTATTATGACTATCTTCATTCCTAATGTTTTTGCACAAAGACTATGTGCCACTCACTGCACTAGCCACTTTACACAAGTTACGTTATTTAATTCTCAAACCAATTATATGAGGTTAGAGTGATGATAATCCCTATTTTATTGATGGGGAAACTGAGGCACAAAGCAGTGAGACTGCACAGCTAGTAAGTGACAAGGGCCCAGGAGTCAAACTCGGGTTTGTCTTTTCCCAAATGCATTCCCTACCCACTCTGCAGGGTGTGCCCCACAGCAGGGTGACAGGAAGGGAAGGTGACATACAAGGAGGGGGGTGATTGATAAGCAATCAATCCAGGTTCCCATCTCCCAATCCCAAGGCACTTTCACAATTTCATAGAAGAAACATTTCTTTGAATAACCATTTATAGCCACTTTCAGCTGGCAGAGTCCAAAGCCTTGCTCCTAATTTTGTTATCAAGTTCAAAGCGGCTCCTTCATAGCAATGTTACTCTCTCCCTCGCCAAGGCTCCCAGACACAGTGGTGTCCTGACCGGACACTGGGAAGTGAGGCTCTGGTGGGGACAGATTTTAACTCACAGTCAACAGGCTTTAGAGTTTGTATCTGAGGTGTATCTGAGGATGGCTGGGAGCTAATTTTGAAATTCCTTGGAGTGACTGAGGTGGAACTGAAGTTCAAGTACAATTTTCCAGGAGCCTGATATGACGGTTGCTACAAAATTGTTCTTTACATGAACTTTTTGAAATTTTGTTCAGCATGAATTCATTGCATATACTACAGACAGAAGTGCTTTTTAATTTAGACAAAGACAGACAATGGAAGAGCAGTCCCAACACAATAAAAGTACTGGGGTTACTTGGGTGCGTTAAAATACACATCACAAAACTGTCTGATTCCCATTACTTTAACTCCATGCTTTGGTGGCTCCCGAAACTCTGCTTGCACCTACCTTTGCTTGGGAAATGTCTCAGCCCCTGGATTTGTCCACCAATCAGATTGTATGCTGTTCTCTATTTGCTATGTCATTTGCTAATTTTGCTCACTTAGGCTACATTTCCTCCCTCCCCCGCTCCTCCCCCCGACTATTCCAACTGACAGAGACCATCTGTACAGACACAAACAGGTTCCAAGGTGCAGGGGAGAAAGCTGAAACTTCTACAGGCTCACTTTATGGACCATGATTTCTTACTAAAATACCTCGTGTGCAATGGGCAGGTAACCAGGGACCATGCGCTTACCTGCTTCCTACTTTATAGACTACAGAGACCCCTGGCCCCCAAATTATTTTTGAAGTTCCATTTTGAAAGGGCATAGAGTCCCTTGCAAATATATAAAACACTGGGGACTTAATTGATTTATTAAAAAGCAAGAGAAAGCATGAGAAGGCAGCAATATGTCACTCATTAAACTCATATGGTCTTGTGTATGTGTGGGTGTGTGTGTGTTTTCCAAGATCCCCATGTAAATCAAAGTCTAATTAGCTGTGTGAATGGATTCCCCATGACCTTAAAAATGAGGACTGATTCAATATTTTCCCTAATTTATCTGTTTCCAAATGAATACAATGTTGTGGTAGTTTCAACCCATGCAAGTGTTCTGATGAAAATACCTATAGTCAGACATAGCAGTTGCGTGCTAACTGATGGATTGGTAGTGGCTGTTGGGAATGCTGTGTTGAGAAGGATTCTGAAGATGCCCAGGGTTCGGTGGGAAGCAGTGCCATCATCACTTAGGAAGCGTGTGGACCAGGAATGGGTGAAAGGTAGCAGATGCACTGAGCCCCTCTGCCAGCCAGGTTGCAGGCTCCATCCATCATCTGCCGCAGCTCTACCTGGGACCTTGGTCCTACACCATCTGTGGAGGACGTCACATTGCTCTCACCCCCGTTGTCTCAATTACAACACCATTTTTCTCCTTAAACTGATTTGGATCTAGGTTTAGTTTTTCTACCCAAGATTAAAGGGCTCCAATCTCCCCTCCATCCTCAGAGCAATAGATATTATCCATGAAATTGCTGCTCTGCCCCTAATTTATGACAGAAGGCATGTTGCTAATCAAGTCCCCCAGTTCACTGAAAACCATGGTTCCTTTTTCATCCCAAAGATTAATGGAGAGCAGATATTAAAATGTTCTGTGTAGACGATGCATAACTGATTTCTGTAGTAGCAGGGGTGTCAGGTTATTTGGTGAAATAGAGACATGATCAAGAGATAGTTTAAAAAACCCAAATAAAAAACAAAACAAAACAAACAAACCCCAAAACCCAAATAAAAACCAGTAACAGGAATAATTAATGGTAAGTCCAGTGACCTCATTACCACCTATATATGTAATCTTGCTTTGAGCTGAGAACTCAGCTAAGATTTCACATGTACTTTTCTCTTTTAACATTTACAGCTGTGAATGGTTCATTCAACTATTTCCCGCATTAGACACAAGTGATTGAGAAAAAATGAATGAGATGTGAACCCCAAATTCATTGCTCCTCTTCTGGAACGCACCACAGAGATCATCGTGGGGGGAGGGGGAATGACCCAGGGGTTCATCCAGAAACAGCCACAGTGACTGCCCCACAGAACAAGTGATTTGTAAAGAGAGGAAGCAATTCTTGAGTCAAGAACTTGAAATCTTTCTTGGCTTTATAAGTTCAAAGACTTAATAAAAAGATGGCCTTTGTGTGGCTGAGTATTACAAAAAGGACAGGAGTAACATAGGCAAAATAGTTGGCTAGAGGATTTAGATATTTTCCCTAATGAATTGTTCCAATACTTGCTGTTTATTCAGATGTCTGAGTAAATTATC